CTCTACCTTCCCCTGTCTTACTTTGATTTCAACAGCTTAGACATTTTTCAGCCAGTGATTTTAAGTGGTTCTCATGTTGCAGTCGTTGGTGCTTCTAAATCCACTACTTCGTCCATTCGTGAAGGGTCTCTGAGACGTTACCTCCTATCGCCGTCAGACAAAATAACCATTTCAAAAGTGAAGAAAGTATTACCTGCGCATTCTATCGAAATAGTTATGAAGTAAATTATTGCTCACTTGTTTTTTTTCTCTAGTCGAAACGATGCACGAAATGTAGAGACGTTTATTTGGTCCTTACTTCTTCGTCTCCGTATGCTGTTAAGTTTGCTTGAAATTGTATTTTAGAATCCTGTTATATCTTACCCGGCACAACAGAGTGTTTCAAGATCCTGGGCTGTGAGACGCTGGTGCACTTCCTTGCTGTAACGTCGCCTTCTGGAAAGGAAGCCGATGAATCGTAAGCACTTTCGCCATTTACCATTATATGGGTCATTTTTCGAAAATATTCTGGACTTACTACTATCTTCATCGCACTATTTAAGTTTTTCTGCCAAGCAATGGATGGCCAAGCATCCCTTCACTTTCACCACCGATCGCTATGATCAAAATGAATTCATTGACTTCCATTCGTTCTCTTTTTGCAATGTTGAAAGTGATAGAACTGTCTACAAGGTAATTCCTACGCAAGCGGATAAACGCATTATCATTTTTATAGGTATTATCAAATACGCAAATAAAAATGCTTCCTCTTCATGACGAGCCCTTGCACATCCCATTAACTCTGACAAATAGTTCAGATTCACATCATCTTCCTGTTGGCTTAGCGAGCACGATGAAGCTGGTAGTGGACTTTATTCGTCAGTTCTCGCTTTCTACAAAATTCATACCAGAGGTTGTTGAACCAACAGGTTTGCTGCTCTATGGCCTTCAAGGTTGCGGGAAAAGTCGAGTTCTTGAAGTGGTCTCTCGTGCCGACGTTGCATGCGACGATGTGCTGGTTTTCAAGTGCTACGTAATTTATTAATTGCATCTAGTTGATGGTTATTTTGCATCAGGTGCATCATTATCTAAAAGAGAGTAGCAGATCAATTTGAAACCTTTGCTTCCTAGGAGTGGTATCGACGCCTCCACTTTGTTACACTCTCTTT